AGAAATTAATGGTTAGTTGGATGACCATCTTGAAACTTGCATTTGGAACTCATTAGAGGATTGGTATAACCAAAGCCTCCACACAATAAGTTGCATTTGCTTTTTGTCAAGTATATCGTCCATTTTAGAATTCTCACAAGTAACATTTAATGATCAATGATGTTTAAGTGATCCGCGTTGACCAAAGGTGTGGTAGATCCATTAGAGGATTGGTAGAACCAAAGCCTCCACACAATTAATCTCAAGGTTATTGGATCAAAGGGATCAAATTAACATACTTGGGCTTGCAATCATAAGTTTGGGCCACGAATGATCATTTATTCGAATCGGGACAAAATTTAGCGCTATGTTAAGCAATCATAAGTGGACTTATGTAGAAGTCACGCCTATTTTGAGGCCGGTCAATAGAAATTTATGTACATCATGTTTGGATAAATGATATAGAGATCACCATCCCTTAACATGTAGCACAATTAAAAAAAGAAAGGGATAAGATGAAGAGGGAGGGGAATGATAAGCTAATTTGGATCACCATTTCAAAATTCTTTCATCTTTAAATTTAACCACTCCTCTAGATGGATTAAAGTACTAAACATATAATTAATCCAAAGCACCAAAAATGAATTAAACAGTCATTCTTAGGTAGATATGAATTGATGAACATTTATCCAACTTCATCTACATCACAAAATCCATTGAGTTTAAAGACAAATTGAACATTTAAAATTGCAATCCAAATTATCCATCAAAGAGAGTGAGCAGAAAAATATTTGAGTCAAAACAGCCCCAAAATAAGGCAGAAAAAGTATTTTTGGCACTGTTACAATCAATTGCTTAGACAGCAACTTATTGCATCAGTGCAGTTTTTTATCAAATCAATTTTCTGTGACAATCAATTGCAATGTTACAACAATTTATTGCAACCTGTTAAAAATCAGTAGAAAACAACATTTTAAAGATCAAATTCTTGTTCCAACTTTTTATCAAACACCTTATGATCATGGATCCAATTCAGCATGAAAATGCCATCAAATTATGAGAAAATAGCACCAATGGAATCATAAAATAGTGCTCAATTAATCAAAACCATAAATCCACAAGAGATCATATTGTGAAAGATGATGATCCAACTTACCAAAGGTAGAATTAGAGAATTATCAAACAACTTCCAGAATTTGCCTCAACCCAACCACAAGAATCAATTACCAAAGCTTGGATGTAGGGAATTGATGGAGAAAAGTATTTGGGTGAAGGTTTAGCTCAAAGATTAGTAAGTTTCAATGCAAAGCTTACTAACTTTTTGAAAATGGAGCTTTGAGTGAATTTGGTAGATGTAGAGAATTGAGAGATTTTTTAGCAAGATGAGTTTGGCTATCAAAAGCTTGTGATTTGAATGAAATGAGGTCTCTATTTATAGAGTTTTAGGATTGGGATTAGTGGTAATTTGGTAATTGATTCTTGGAGCCAAATTTGAATTAATGATATAATTTCAAATTATGCATAAAAAATTGGAGCCAAAAATGAGACAGATTTGAAATTGCTGGCTTTTTCAAAAAACACGTGCATTTTGCTCTTATGAGTCGATACATGGGTGGTATGTGTTGATACATCCTAGCTGTATAACATAACATGTGTCGATACATGCCTCTATGTATCGATACATACTGTTATTTCAACATATTACAGAACCACACAAACTGCATGAGTCGATACATAACACGTATGTGTCGACACATGCTAGTTATACAAACAAGATGAGTCGATACATACATGCATGTGTCGACACATGCTAGTTATTCAAACAGGATGAGTCGATACATAGATGCATGTGTCGACACATGCCAGTTAAACACATCAAGATGAGTCGATACATACCTTTATGGGTCGATGCATGCTGTCTTTTGCCACAATACAGGATCAATCAACTTTCATGAGTTTAACACAAGCATTCATGGATTCATACAAGATTCCTTTCGACACAATACATGATCAATCAACTCGGAAAACCTTATTTGTCGAATGCTTTGACTCAGTACCTACAAAGCACAAATTGTGCAAAGACAAGGACAAATATATTTTTTTGTATTTTGATTAGAAGTTAGTCAATCAACACATATACAAAATACACAACCAAGGTGCTTGGAGATTCCTCAAGAGCAAACATAAAGATAGGAGATAGAAAAAGGAGGAAGAACCAACCCTAATGTGATCTTGTTATGATCATGTTGACATGATATGATAGGGGAATCTTAGGGGCAAAAATTGGGGTACAACAGTACCAAATTTCAAACATCCCCGTTTGGAGCAGGTTTTTATTTATATTTCCCGCACCTGCTTTTACTTTTTTTTTATTTCCCGCACCTGCTTTTACTTTTTTTATTTCCCGCACCTGCTTTAACTTTTTTTATTTCCCGCACCTGCTTTTACTTTTTTTATTTCCCGCACCTGCTTTTACTTTGTTTATTTCCTGCACCTGCTTTTACTTTGTTTATTTCCCGCACCTGCTTTTACTTTGTTTATTTCCCGCACCTGCTTTTACTTTGTTTATTTCCCGCACTTGCTTTTACTTTGTTTATTTTCTACACTGCTTTTACTTTGTTTATTTCCCGCACCGCACTTTAAATTATTTACTTTCTCGCATGATTTATTTTAACATATCTGTTTACATTCCCATGTCAGGCTGAACCTTACTAGGCTAGAATGTAGGGAATCTAGTTAGATCGATATTCCAAATAATGTGTCAATAGAAATGCTTATGGGCTATTTTTGTTTTTAATACGAGTTTTCTGTACTTTATTGTTGTTGGGTAAGATCGAAAGTCATCTAACCCTTTGTTAAACTCGGTTAGTTCTAACTGGTCAAAGGAAGGGAAAGCGCTTTGTCCGGTTAGTTAGGAATTTTTATTATCAAAGAAATCAATTTTGAAACTATTTCCAGACGCGTTTATAGGGTTAAAGTTAGGTCCCCTTTTATTAGAAATTCCAGATCAAAATACTTTGCAACTTGGTCAACTACTTTACTTCTTAAAAATAGGTTTATTACTTTAACGCAATGCTCGCCTTTTTATAAGTGGCGATAAGAAGGTCTGATTAGAGAGTAAACTCAGTTATGATTACGCGAAAGCGACAGTTCTTGTTAAATTATTTCTTTTCTTTAGTAGAAAAATATTGCCCTATAAGTAGTTCGATTCTGAAGCATTGCGAATATCATCTGACTATGTGAATTACATTCGACCCTGCTGTTATATCTGAAGTTTATTTCGCCGCACTTTACTTTCTTGCATGCTCAATTCCCTGTTTAATATTGACTTAGCTAAACAGCGTAACAATAGGATACGATAGATTGACGATTGGTCTCTATGGATCGATAATCTTTTATATTGCTCTGACGTGATTCGTACACTTGCGAATACACCGCATCAATAAACACGTGATAGTAAAGTATACAGGTAATTAATATATTCTATTTTAAATATATATAGGTATAATTACAATTTTAGTCTTTCTATTTTACAAATCTCATAAATTGATTTTTTATTATAAATTCAAACAATGTAAAATAGAGATAATAATTTTTGAATGACATAAAATAGGTGGACCTAGATGATCATGAGCCAATTTGGAATCACTTATTTCGTCTATTCAAAATACTTGGAACCAGATGAATAGTCAAGGTAAATTCAAGATGAATATTGTGTATAATGAATTAACTAAAGATGATCATGAGCCAATTTGTAATCACTTATTCTTGAATAATTCTGCTAGACGAAGGGCTTTGATAACTTTTTGGCTTGCTTGTCACAGAAGGTTGGATATGAAGGAGAGGCTTAAAAAATTTGGCATGGTTTCTAACACTAGTTATTGCTTCTGTTAGCAGGTTGAAACCTTAGATCACCTGTTTTTTGAATGTTCACAAATGCAGGCTATTTGGCATAATATCTTGAGCTGGCTTCATGTGAACCATGTTTCGAAGGGTTGGCATTTGGAGCTTCCTTGGATAGTGCAACAGTGTTATAGGAAGGGTTGGAGATTTAACCTTTTAAAGCTTGTTGTAACTGAAACAATCTATGTTTTGTGGTGCTATAGAAATGATAAATGATTTGGAAATATGAGGATGTAGAAGAATATTGTGGATCAAAATTTGAATACCATTATCTTTAGAGCTTGGAATTGTAAGAGGTTAAAACCTCATATTATTGAGTTTATGTTGTAATTGTCTTCTTGTGGGTTGGATCGCTTACGATCCCTTGTACTTATCGTTCTTTTTTGAATATATCAAGTTTTGTTAAAAAATAATAATAACAATTATATTAATAATAAACTAGTTCGACATAACAGATATTTTCGTAGTATTATTTTCTAAATAAAAACATCTCATCTAAACAATGAATTTCCTTTAAAAAATATCTCTTTTAACCATAAACACATGATAGTAAAGTATAAAATTTACCAATATATTCTATTTTCAATCATTTATAGGTATAATTACAGTTTTAGTCTTTCTATTTTACAAAATTCATGACAATAATTTTTTGTCATAAATACAAACAATATAAAATAGAAATAATAATTCTTTGAATGACATAAAATAGATGGACCAAAACTATAATGAAATCAATAATATATTCGTCAAATATACAATCTTAAATTGTTGAAAAAATTTATTTTGTTTGAATTTATCTTTTCTTTTCTAGAATTTTTAATAAATATGCATTACTATAAAATATTAATAATATTGACTAAATATGTATTAATGTAAAATATTAAGAATATATACTAAACATACATTAATTTAAAATATTAAAAATATTTACTAAATATGCATTAATTTAAAATATTAAAAAGGTTCATTTTAAACTTTATATTGAAAAATCTGAAAAGATATTTATCCACTTTGCAACTTTTCAATTATTTTATATTTTTTTGTTTGTATATAAATTCGAGGTTTGCATGTAGTCAGAATATATCTCATTCACACATTTGAAATTGAAGCTATTCGAAATGACTAAGTTTTCTTTCATATCCATTCTTGTCCTTTTCTTTATTTTTTCAGGTATACAAATTTTGTTTTTTTTTTTTAATATGTTTTTGTAACACTTATGTGTGTGTATGTATGTAATAATGTTTATTTGTTGGGTGTTAACCTTATAAAACTTAATTATAAGAATGTAATTATGCTTTTTTTTCCACAGTTGTAACCATGACATGTCAAGCAGACAAATTATGTAAGACAATCCGTTATGGTCCTTCTAGTGTTTGTATCCTTTGGGATTGTCGACAATGGTGCTATGAGCAGTATGATGGTAACGGAGTTTGTGAGCCATTGGGATCAGCAACCAAATGTTATTGCGTATATAAATGTTAAGTCTATAAAAAATATAGCATAATGCTCAAAAATTAAATGTTAAATGTAAGAGCGTGTCAAAATAAATTTAATAAAATTATGGCACTGGTATTTTTCAAATTGGTATTTAACTGTTTTTGATTACTTATTGCGATTGAACATTTTATATTAACCACATTATAATTGAATTTTTGTTAGATAAAAAACTAAAATAGAAAAATATGAGTGACTGTTTATTTAATTCTAGTATATGAATCCATTGTTTGAAAATTTAACATATCATGGATGTGGAAAAAACGAATAAAATATAAATTTATTTATGGTTCGGTTTAATTTTAAATGATTGATTGAAAAAATACGATATGACTCGATTCAATTTTATACCGTTTAATTTAGATATCTTTTTGAATATCCAAATTATAAATTATAATTTTTTAATTAAAATTATAAATGTAATATTCTATTTTTTTCTAATATGAGAATAATGAATATTTTCTATTTATTTAGATTATAACCGAGGGAATAGTGGTCATTGAAGAATAATTGGAGGGTGTAATAGTCATTTCATCCATTAAGTCAGGCATAAGGGTTTGTTGTCCTTGTAACATTATTCATGTTATTCCAAATTAGAATTTGAGAAAAAAAGAGAGAGGAAGCGTGAAAGAGAGGAAGAGAAGAAGTTCCATTTTGAGCTAACCTCCATCATCATCTCTTGTATGTTCCAAGACCAAGTTCCTACCTTTGATTCATCGTCATCTACCTCTGTTCAGGCTTCTTCTTCCCTACTCTAAGGTGAGTCTCATAGTTAGAGACTTGGGATTTTAAGGGTTTAATATGAATTTGGGGGTTAAGGGTTATGTTGAGAATTTGATGTTGCATGTTGGTTGTTATTCATGAATAACATGTTTCTAACTCAAAATTCGTATTTATGTGTTATAGGTAACTAAAAAGGGGTGGTAAATTTTGGGTTTTGTGTCCCCAAGACATAATTGTTTGTTCTAATAATTTTGTAGTTTTCGCAGTGTTCAGTGCACTCGCCTATGTAACTTAGAGTTGTCAATTCTTCAGGGTGCACTTAGCGTGAGGGACCGCGCTTATCGTGAACTGGGATACAAATTTTTTGAAAATAATTCCCCGAGTGCAGTGTTGTCCCGGGATCGTAACTAAATGCCTACCCGATTAAATTCTGGATATTCTAGAGGTGTTATAGACTATTAAATCCTATGATTTAATTGTCAAGCAATTGGATTATGATTATGCATGATTATACGTAGAATACATTATGCTTGAAAATTTATGATATGCTCCTATTAATTAATAGGTATGATTGATACTTGTGATTGTTGGAAATGTCGTATTTGATAATTGCCTGAAAAAGTGTGATTGCCCGTCGTTTCGGCTGAACGTTCAATGGTGTATGTTTGTTCAAATTTATATGTGCCTTTCGGGCCTGATACACATTGTGAATTTGATGTATACTTGAATTGGAGTAGGCCCGAATACTAGGAAGTAAATTACTTATGACGTAGACCTTGTGTGTCAATTTGTACCATTGTGATGCACTTGTGTGGATCCATGTGTGGCATTTTCACCAGCAGTTAAGAACATCTGTGTGCTTGGTATGTCATAAGCACCTGAGCTACCATTGTGATGCGCTTGTGTGGGTCCATGTGTGGCATTTCCACCAGCATTTAAGAACACCGCATGCTTGGTATGGTTGGTTGTGATTCCACATAGGCAAGATCACTCCATGGATTTCTAACTCAACTATAATGGTGCCATGTAAGAAAAACCATTAGGCTTTCGCCCGATGGGCTCGTGCTATTAAGATGACGTCTTTGCACCGACAATTAATCATATGCATTTGGATGACAGACGAGTCATGATGCCTCATCAACAAATGTCACTCCTGGAACTTGTCACAAATGGAATTCCACTTATGAACGAAATGGATCGTCGTGTTGTGACCGAGGAAAGTCTCTAGATGCGATGCACGGGTGTAAATCACCGAGGGTGTGATAGTGTAACCTGACTAGGGGAATTAACGTACTCTTGGATTCCTCGTACATGGGTACGGGTCTGGATACTTGTTTGTTTTTGTTATGTGTTGTTTAATCTCGTTGGGATGTAAAGGCACTACCAATTGAGATTTTCCCTATTGTTACTTGTACCAAGTTGTGATAAAAATTCAGATTCACGGTGGATCCATTCTGATGCATACACCCTTTAGAACTCATTGAACTCCTAAGATAGGGAGACTCATTGAGATTTAGTAATCTCACCTCATTCCAATTAATATTTTTCAGGTTCTTCGAGGCGGGATCATGACAAGGGTAAGATGGCTTAGCTTGTCGGCGATGTTTCTTGGTGATGTTTCATTTCTTTTGTACCTTCAGTTTATGTACCTTGGATTATGTATTAGTACTTTTGGATTTATATCATTTTGGCCATGAGAGTTCGGCAAGTTTGTATCATGTACTAATACTTATCTATGCTCCGCTGCTTATGTATGAATTTCATTTACCGTTATAATTCCATATATGTATTATCCTAGGAAATGATATGTATGGGGTGTTAGAGTTGGTATCCGAGCAGGTTGATTGTCGGCTTTGCCACGAAACATCATAAGTCATTATAATTCTACCTCATATGTGTAATTGTTAGCATTATTCCTTACGTCCAACTTATGGCATTGAGCCTGATCAACTTAATTCTATGTGTCAAACAAATAGGAAGATGGTTGATGGACGCAAAGGTCTCGGAAGGCCATGAACTAGACACGTCGAGCCTGAACTAGAAAGGCTAACATGCTTTGGTTGCAGATGATGCAACAAATACAGTAGTAGAATCAATTGATGATGCAGATGATGCAGGATATGCAAGGACCACAACCAACTGCTCCTGCTCCTGTTCCACAAGCTGTAGTGGGTCCATATTTTCGTGCCTTTTTCAGGATGAAACCACCAGAGTTCGTGTGTGTCTTAGATCCTGTAGCTGCCCCAGATTGGCTTTACATCACGGAGAGGGTATTCCCGACCATCCAGTGTACCGAGGAAGACAAAGTGATGTTTGTTGTTCAAATGCTGAAAGGTCCAGCTGGTAGTTGGTGGGATACTACATCTACCTATTTCAACTCCTAGACAATTCTTAGAGATTGGCAGCACTTCAAGACAACATTCTTGGAGATATATTACCCGAATAGCTTGCGTTCTCAAAAGAAGAGAGAGTTTCATCTATTATAAGGGAACGTGTCAGTGTCTGAGTATGCTGATAAATTTGAAGACATGGTTACTTACTCCAGACAAGTTGTTTATGCACTTGATGAGATGTGGAAGATCGACCAGTTTTTGTTTGGATTGAATGTTGTTGCCCATAGTGTGTCTCAACGAGTATTCTCCACTTATGTTTAATATTTGAGATAATTCTATGTTGCTTAAAATAGTTTGAAGAGAGTTAAGGAAGAGAGGGAGCAAAGTCGGTCTTTGCGTAAGGATTAGGGGAAGTTGGGGCTATATCTGAAACCTCGAAGTTCTCCTCCAGTAAGGAAGCCAGTTTATGGTGATCGATCAGCTCAACCTTCTATATGTGGCAAGTGAAATAAGAGGCATAATGGGAATTACTGGGTGGACTCATGGAAGTGTCACTGATGTGGATTGACGAGTCACTTGATTAGGGACTACCTAAATCAGAATATTCTGGATAAGACTGCAGGCCGTGTGTACACCTTGGATGCAAGGAAATCCTAAGCAAACACAAATATTGTTACTAGTATGTATCATGTTAATAATTAACCTTTGTTTGTTTTAGCGGATTGTGGAGCGATGCATTCCTTTATTTCTAATTTGTGTATGCGACAGCTCGGATTCGAATCCACTACTCTTTCTAATCATATAATTATCTCGTCTACTAGGAATAATGTAATAGAAGCTCTGAAAGTTTGTAAGGATTGTTCTGTTACTTTTAATGACCGTAATTTTTTGATTTATCTTATTTGTTTGCCTCTTTAGAAGATCGACTTGATATTGGGTATGGATTAGTTGTCAGCCAACTCAGTGTACATCGGTTGTAAAGAGAAAGCTATCTTCATTCCTGTTGAAGAAACCTCTTCTGTCAATGCTATTAGAAATCTGATCGAAGGTACAATTAACTTGGTTTATTTCCTTTTTACTCAAGAGAAGTCTTTCCTTTTGGTCCTTATTTCAAATCTTGAAAGTGAGAGGAGTGTGTCTGAAATCCCTGTTGTGTGTGAATTTCCTGATGTTTTTCTGGAAGATGTTACTTCGCTTCCATCATAAGTCGAAGTTGGGTTCTTTATAGACCTTGTTCTAGGAACCACTTTGGTTTCTACCGCTTTGCATTACATGTCTCCTGTAGAGCTAAGGGTGTTTAAGAGTCAATTAGAAGAGTTATTGGTGAAACACTTTGTTTGGCCCAATGTTTCTCCATAAGGGCGCTCATGTCCTACTGGTAAAGAAGTATGACAATAGTATGCACTTGTGAATTGACTATTTCCAATTGACTAAGGTGACCATAAAGACCAAGTATCCTCTACCACAGATTGATGACCTCCTGGATCAGTTGAAAAGAGCCTGCGTGTTCTCGAAGATTGATCTCAGGTCAGGATATCATCAGATTTGGGTTGAAAGTTTTGATGTGTAAAAGACCGCATTTAGGACGCGCTACAGTCACTATGAATTATTGGTTATTCCGTTTGGAGTGACCAATGCTCCTGCCGTCTTTGTGGATTACATGAACCAGTTGTTCCAACCATATATGGACCAGTTTTTGGTGATCTTTATAGACAACATTCTAATTTATTCTCGAACGGTTGAAGAACATGTGGAACATTTGATAATCATGTTATTTGTTCTTCATGAGAAGTTGTTGTTTACGAAGTTTAGAAAATGCGAGTTGTGGATGTTGAAAGTCAAGTTTCTCAGACATTTTATTTCTAGTGGAGGCGTAGCAGTAGACCCTTCTAAAGTGGAAGTTATGGTAAATTGGGAACGACCCAAGAATGCAATTAAAGTTTGTAGCTTCCTGGGTTTTGCGGGTTACTATCAGAGGTTAATCATGGGATTTTCCAAATTAGCATTACCTTTTACAAGGCTAACAAGGAAGGAGGTTTCTTTTAAAGTGAATTCCGAGTGTGCGCAGAGCTTCTAGAATTTGAAGAAGAAATTGACTACTGCTCAGGTGCTAGTGATTCCAGATCCATAGTGATCGTATGAAATATTCTTTGATTCCTCCAAGAAAGGGCTAGGTGGAGTTCTGATGTAAGATGGTCAAGTTGTGGCTTATGCGTCTCAATAGTTGAGATCGCACGGAGAGAATTATCCTACACGTGATCTTGAACATGCTGCAAATGTTTTTTTGCTTAAGGTGTGGCGACAATATCTGTATGTGGTTTACTTTGATATGTTTAGTAATCATAAGAGTTTGAGGTACCTATTTAACCAGAAAGAAATCAATATGTGTCAGAGGAGATAGATAGAATACCTTAAGGATTATGACTTTGACTTGAAGTATCATCCCAGGAAGGATAAGATAGTAGCGAATGCTCTGAGAAGAAAAGAAATTCGAGTCGCAGAACTAATGATGTTAGACTTTGATCTCTTGGAGAAATTCAAAGACCTTGACTTACAGTTCGAATGGGCACCAACCGACATATTAATTAGTAACTTGAGTGTTGAGAATTTTCTGCGAGAAAAGATCCGCCAGGCTCAGTGCAACAATATATAGTAACAAGCTATGTGAAGTCTTCCAAATTTTCCTGAGCAACCGATGAAGTTATTATGTTTAGACATAGAGTGTGTGTACCTAGAGAAGTAGAGTTAAAGAGATTGATTTTAGACGGATCCCATAAAAGTAAATTATCATTCATCCTGGATCGACCAAGATGTATCAAGATTTAAGGAAGAGCTTTTGGTAGCCCGGTATGAAAAGAGATGTTGCTAGTTATGTGGAGGAGTGTGGGATTTGTCAACAGGTGAAGATAGAAAACCAGAGGCCTAGTGGTATGCTATATCCTTTGGATATTTTGATATGGAAATAGGACAACATATCCATGGATTTTATCGTAGAACTATAGTGTACCTTAGGTGGTCGTGACTCTATTTGGGTGATTATGGATCAGTTGGCGAAGTCCACACATTTCTTGTAGGTTAAGATGACTCATAAGGTTGTACATCTCGAAATACTTCTTGTGGAGGAGGTAATGAGATTACATGGTGTACCGTCCAATATTGTTTCAGATCGAAATTCGAAGTTTACCTTGCAATTTTTGAAGGCATTCCACCGTGAGATGGGAATGGAATTGAATTTGAGTACTTCTAACCATCCTAAGACTGATGGGAAAATGGAAAGGACTATTCAAACAATAGAAGATATTATAAGAGCGTGTATTTTTGAAAGCGGTGGGCATCGGAAGGATCATTTACCTTTGGTGGAGTTTGTGTATAACAATATTTACCACGCAAGTATCGGCATGGCATCATATGAAGATTTTGTATGGAAGAAGATGTCAGTCGCTATTGTGTTGGTCGGAAGTTGGTGAAAGAGGAATTCTTGGACCGGAGATAATTCAAGAGACGACGGAGAAAATTAAGATGATCCAAGAAAAGATAAAGAAAGCACAAGACCGTTAGAAAAGTTATGCGGATAAAAGGAGGAGGCCTTTGAAATTTCATGAAGGTGATCATGTGTTTTTAAAGGTTACTCCAAGACTAAGATTGAAAGGGCCATTAAAGACGCGCAAACTTAGTCCGAGATATGTGGGACCTTATCAAATCATGAAACGGGTAGGTGAAGTTGCATACGGGTTAGCGTTGCCTCCTTCACTATCCGGGCTACATGATGTTTTCCATGTGTCTCTGCTTCAGATGTTCGTGCCAGATTCTTTTCATCCTATTGTTCTTGATGCTATTGAGATAGAACCAGATCTTTCCTATGCATCATAACCCGTTTGCATTTTAGAACGTGCTAGTAAGTCCTTGAGGAGAAAAGAAATCCCTCTTGTGAAGGTATTGTTAGAAGAGTTTCGTCCCGATGAAGCTACTTGGGAGCTCGAGTCAGAAATGCGAGAGCTTTATCCTCATCTATTCTGGTAAGATTCAAATTCAAGGACGAATTCTAATTTAAGGGGGAAAATGTAATATTCTATTTTTTTCTAATGTGAGAATAATGAATATTTTCTATTTAGTTGGATTATAACTAAGGGCATTGTGGTCATTGAGGAATAATAAGAGGGCGTAATAGTCATTTCATTCATTAAGTGAGGCATAAGGGTTTGTTAGGCCTTGTCTCATTATTCTTATTATTCCAAATCAAAATCTGAGAAAGAAAGAGAGAGGAAGTGTGAAAGAGAGGAAGAGAAGAAGTTCCATTTTGAGCTAACCTCCACCATCATCTCTTGCGTGTTCCAAGACCAAGTTCCAACCTTTGATTCATCGTCATCTACCTCTGTTTAAGCTTCTTCTTCCCTACTCTAAGGCGAGTCTCATAGTTAGAGACTTGGGGTTTTAAGGGTTTAATATGAATTTAGGGGTTTAAGGGTTAGGTTGAGAATTTTATGTTGCATATTGATTTTTATTGATGAATAACATGTTTCTAACCTAAAATTCATGTTTATGTGTTGTGGGTAACTAAAAAAGGGTGGTAAAATTTGGGTTTTGGGTCCCCAAGATAGAACTGTTTATTCTAATATTTTTGCAGTTTTCGTAGAATGCGCTTAGCGCAGAAGGGGCTGCGCTTAGCGCACTCGCCATATAACTTGGAGTTGTCAATTATTCAGGGTGC